ACACAAGTTAAAATTATGCAGGCTACACATCCCCCCCCCCCAAATGAGCTGGGTACTCAGTTTACCAACCCTGGAATCATGGAAGGCTCTGTCAACCTTGAGCCAGCTATCTGAGTCTGCTAGGATCAAGGTTAGGCCATGAGGAGAGTTTAGGCTGCAGTATTGCAGGTTGACCACTGTACCACAACTAACCAGTGCTAAGGCAGCTGCAATATATTTCTGTGGAGTTATTCTACACAATCAGTTGCGAGTCATCTTCTTTTCATTAGAATTGAGCTGGGTGGCATGGCCTGCCCTCCTGAACAGCCAGCTTCTTGGGACATTGCCTTTAATTTATTTTCATGCAGCCATCATTACGTCAGACTGTAGGAAATGGAGAGACCTTAAGCAAACAAGGGCTCCTTCACTGACTCAGCTGGAGACTTGCCTCCTCTCTTTGATGCATTTGAATTCTGAATAGTCATGATGATCAATGCTGGCTGGCTATATTTCGCCCTTTACAACTGCTATTTATATAATCAAGAATTGGTTCCATTCTTATATTCTTTGTCCCTCCTCTGTCCCGCTCCCCTTTTTCTTGTGTGTCATGTCCTTTTCGATTGCAAGCCTGAGGGCAAGATCTGCATTGGTTTTATTTATTTCCAAGATGCTCTGGGAGCTTTTCCAGCTGAAAAGCAGGATATAAATGCTTTATTTAAATAGACAATCAAGTTTCACTTCAAGTACTGTAACTGAAAGGAATTTCAGCATTACAAAACAGACAAATCTGCGCCATATATTCAATAGGTTGCAACACCCAATCCAAAATTTGTGACAAATGTATTTGCATTATCTATGTGTTTCTGGACACATTTATTGTATGCATTATATTTCAGCTGTAAACCCCAGGTACCTAACAGTACTTGCTGAAATGACATCCAGTAATAAGAATGTGTTTTACATGCATGGGTGAATCATGTCTTTATTTAAGACCAGGACTTGTATTAAGCTCCACCATCACAGCTATCTTCAACTATTATTGCTGCTCATCAAAGTTCTATAAATAAAGTTTGCATGAGCCATGGATATCAAAAAGTCCAGTCTGAGGGGAAAAAAACCAGTTCCTATGTTGCAGTTCCTATGTTGATACCACTGTAAAATATTCTGGGCTTGTATCATGAGACATGTGATCCAAGGTGCACGTTTTTAATAGGCTATTGGACAGCTTCTCAAATGCCCTTAGTATCAGACCCTGAGATTCACAAGACGGAGGCTGGATATTCATGGTAAATAGGTCAGGGCCACAGCATGGACTACCTGCTGGCCCAGAGGTTCTGTCTGGCACCATTGATTGAGGAAGAGTTCGGCCAGACAATAAAATCTTAGAGTTCATTTCTGGTTCTATTTAGAAGGCATACTTCAGGGACACTATGGATTGGCCTTGCAGAAAAAATAAACTACACTGCAAATGTGTATCCACAGGTGAATGTATAGGCTCATGCTCAATTAAGTTGATTTTTGAATAGTAATAGTTAAGATCTATGCTATTGCTTAGAAGAATGCACAGTTTGAATGGGAAATACAAGGCAAGTTGAGCTAATTGTTGATTATAATATAGCTTTAAAATGAAATACTTTATTCCCACTTTGGAAGACAGGTGTTGTCAATACAATGTTGGTTGTGGGAAGGTGTAAATATCCATATGAAACTATTAAAAATTCACAGTGGCAGGCAACCACTAGCCCTCTGGTTGTGTTTGTCTCTCAATCCAATTTCAGATGGCCCCCAGTCAAAGTGGGTTAGAAAAAGCAGACTCTTCTTCAGTAGTCAAATAGAAAAGGAAGAAAAATCAGGAGGGGAAAAGAGAGAAGGGAATGACAGAAAGGAGTTGATTGGGATGAGGCCAGAAAGAGAAAGAGAGAAATATTGCCTCTGCCTATCGCAGGTCTCTGGCTGCTCTCATACTACCTAAGACAGACTGTGGACCTCAACAGAAGCAAAAGATAATGTCCCCTGAAAAAGTCTCCCTCAGAGGTAACGTTGAGTGACCGTAATCAGGAATGCAATGAGGCATAGGAAACATTTAATTATTTTTATTTTGGTGCTTGGCTCATTTTCATTATTATTTCTTATTAATTCAGTTCTCATTTGTTTTACTCTTTGTTTTACTGTTTGTTCATTTTAATGCCCTTTGTTTGGGCCCTCACACTTATACCATTCTTCTCCCCCCATTATTTTCTTTGATTTTTCCTCCCCACTGTTTTCCTTTGGCCAGTACCAAGGGAAGCAGTGGAAGTAACTTCGGTAACTCTTCCGGCAGCCACCATTTTGCTTCAAAGATGTCCAAAACATCAGAGGAGAGTCTAGGAGAAACTGGGATTTGCTTTCCTCTGCCTGAAAATACTGTGGATTAAGGAAGAAAACAAGTCATCTGGAGTGGCTCCCCACGGCCAACTCCCACCATGACCTCAACACAAGTGAGAGAAACGGATAGAATTCCAAACTGAAGTCTCAGTTTCACCTATTTGTTACACAGTGTGTGTCACACACATGAATTAAAACTGAACTAAATAGACTATACTAGAATTTTTCATTTATTTAAATAGAAGTGCACATCCCTTATATGAACTCTATTTTCCAATGACCTCAGAATGTTATGTACTATATCGAGACCTTGTTTTGTGTGGTTTTGTATAGTTGTTCATTTCACCCTTTCCGTTTTCTTTCTTTTATAGGTAGTGACATATTTTACGCAGTTGTATTGAACCCTTGATGTATTCGGATATCAGAGCCCCCCTGCTCCACGAAAGCCCTCTCAGGATAAACAGCACAATATGTACAATTGTAAAGCAATTCCAAATAAAATTAAAATGAAGAAATAGATTTTTTAAAAATTTTAATTTTACTTATTGATTTGCTCACAAAAAAATCGATAAAGTATACAGACTCTGGTGTTTGATAATATGTTCTTAATACAATAAAGAGGTCAAAACTTCTACTGTATAATATATTCCACCACCTGAGAATGGTTACCAAAGTTGACAGACCACCATTAATAAAATAAAATAAAATAAAATAAAATAATAGGGAATATGTGAGGCTGTCTACAAAAGAAACAAAAATGCATAGCAATCAAATAAGAAAAAAATGATAAATCCAAAGTCAAATACTGTTAGGTTCCAGTGTCTTCAATAAGAGCATTAAGCATGCACTTTAAATCCTTCCACTGAAATCAACAGTATTTAAAAGTACTTAATTTTGATGAGATTGTGCCCCCCAAAGGGTAATCTTCAACACTGAATTTTGAATATCAGAAAAGGCATACTGTGAAGTCAAGTAATTGGACAGGTATACAATTTATTAATAAATGCAACATGATGGTCTCATATAAATATACCAGATATAAACCAGCAACCTGAATAAAGTAAATTTACGGTATATTGGTAGGCAAAGAGTGAAAAACAAAAACCCTGAAACATTCACTAAAACGTCTGCTTCTTCCACAGATGAGGGAAATGGCAGTACTGAATGAGAGAGGCATTTGGAAACAGAGTAGTCTCCACTCTCTCCTAAACCAGTGGCTTGGATCCAAAGAAAAGAGTACTGAATGGGGGTGTTCTGGACCCATCCCATCTTTTGACAGCTTCCCAAAATTCCCTCAAAATTCTCTTGAGGCCTTTCCAGAAAGGAGTACAGTTTGGGGTGGAACATGGAGGCTTCAGGGCAACAGGGATCAGATGGAGGCACATTCCAGAAGCATGAGCTCCATTCCTGAAATGTGATTCTTATCTACCTTTAACAGGATTCCTCCTTATCTAAAGACCTACCCCCACCCCCACCCTGCAAGATTCCCTGATGCTCTGGATGGGGAAACTGCCATGGAGAAGGTGGGGTAAGCTTCTGCCAGTCCCATTCTGCATACTTTCTTGGAATCCAGCACAGCATTTCTGATTTTCATATATGTTGAAATATATTCTTTAAACTCTTTACTGGAAAAAAAATAACAATTGTAACAATTTTTGAATTGCAATGATGTCTTAAGCTTAACAAGAACTAGAAATGCAAAGAGGGTACCCCTATCATGCAGATTCTCTTACAAATAAACTGTAACATTTCTTGCTGGGAAAGGCCATTTAAAATTCAGTAACTGTAACTTCCCTTACTTCATAAATAAGCCAAGACTTAGCAATGACACATTTTAATATATATATATTTCAGCAGGCCACTACTTGATATTTTAGTTCCCTGTCAGGAGAATTAACAGTTTGTTTGCTTCCAGCTCACTCTATACAGAACCTTTAATAACTTACTCGCCATACCAAGACTGTTCCTTCCATATTTTATTACCAAAATTGATGTCTCTCTCTCTCTCTCTCTCTCTCTCTCTCTCTCTGTGTGTGTGTGTGTGTGTTCTAGAATCAGTTCTGAGGTATAGATGCCGTTTTCTTTGTTGACCTAGCAGATGCTGAAAGGGTTGAAAAAAACCTACAGAGCACAACTAATTTCATACTTTCAGGCATTATATCTTCATCCTCTTGTCCTTCACCAATTAGAAACTAAAGTACTAATCAGAATTCTTTGACAGTACTCCATTCTTCTCAGAGGCAGACTGAAGGGAAAGATATGTCTTGCTCTCGGGTTTATGATCCTACATAAGATGCCATATGATGCTGTTTATCCGCAGATAACTATCTTATAAAACCTTTCTCACATCCCTTCAGATCCCTTCAATTCTGTTCATTGCTCTTTCCAAATACATCATAATCCCAAGAGGTAATCTGATTTCTCATGTGCACATATATAATTTCCCCTTAAAAAAATAAGAACGATTCAGACATCTGTTTGAAAAATAACAAGCTTTTCCTTTAAATGTCTTTTGAGCCGTGCAGTGACCCTGCCTCTTGGGAATCGATTTCTTTGTATGACATTCTTGAACAGAGGTCACATGTCTTTTTTTTAGGATCCAACATACACTAAGCGTTGGAGCTTCATTCATAAATATTTCACTTACGAGCACATACATTCATTTTACACGATTCCTCAATGTGGCCAGGGGGCTGCGTAGTCTGCATTGTATCCACCTATAAAAAATACAAAAATAGATGTCTGCTTACCGGGATGTGAGCAGGGTTTAGCTAACCTATTTCTACCACAATGGGTTTTTAAATTTTATTTTTAAAGGAGAGATTCACATCATTATACCCTTAAATCCAACTATAATCCAGTAGATTAGATTATACATAGTCACTCATAACATTGTTCGTAATTATTAATAAAGCTTGACAATTTAAATCAATTTGTACCTCCTCCTATTCATCTTTAAAAGTGCAGCTTTAATTATTTTACATGTGGCTGGGGGAGGGGAGTACTAAGGTTGCAGGGGGCTAATAAATGATCAATTATCTAGTTAGGTTAAATTTGATGTGAGGATAAAGAGGCACTATAAGCATTAACAAGCAACAATATATAACTGGAGGATGTGTGGCTTCTGCCAAAAAAGCTTCCCTGGATTACCTCATTTTCTTTACCTGTAAGATCCTAGACATCAAAAGGTGTGATGTAGCATACTTGTGTTGTATAGTTTCTCCCCAACCAACCACCAGTCAATGAATGGTTCAGAGTCTGAGAAACACAAAGAGTATGAAAAAAAAGCTATGTTGGACTACGTTTCCCAGAATCCCCCAGCCAGCATGGTTTCTGATGGAGTTAAAACAATTGGATTTGCCAGCTCCTGATAAAGAAGAAACTGAGAGCTGATGCTTGGCCAAATAGAACAGAAAGTTCCTAAGAAAGGGGAACTCTCTCTAAAGATAGCTTCAGAAATAGAGCCATATTTGTCTGTTCCAGCACACACACCCGGAAGTGACATCTCACAGGTGCCACAACACTTTTGTTTTTGTTTACCTGAAGATGTACGTGGATGCAACTCTTCCTTACACCTACAGCCTCAACAAGAACTGGTTATGCTCGCTGGGGAATTTGTGGAGCTGTGATAAAAAGAAATCCCTTTCAAAAACAATCAAACAAAAAAACTTTGTCCCATACTCTGCACTTACTCTTTCATTTTGCCACTCCTTTCCCATCATCATATGGATTAAAATGTAAAACTATCTCCCTTTTAGAAATGCTACCATTTGGCAGCAGTTCACATTGGCATTATACAGCTGAGTTTCATTACACATTTTCCAAATGTTTATTTTAAAATTGCCATTGTTGATTTTGCATAAATTGCTTCAGTTTTCAAATTCTCCATAAGTATGTTACAAAATTTTCCTGACTCATAAAATATCCACGCAGTTCAAGTGTATCTGATGAAAAAGTGTCAGGTACAGTACCTTGACAGAAAGATATCTAGACTTACACATTGTATGCCTATTAAAAATGTCATAATCTCTCTCACACACACCCCAAATCCCATGAACTGAAACAGGATGTGTGGATAATTCTGTTAGATAAAACTTACAAAGGTGTAGTTTACAGAAAAGTAATATGAAACCAGTTTTAATATTTAGGGTCTGAATAAGCCTGAATTAGAAGCAACTGATAAGCAGGCTCATCAAAAGGTTGCCAAATGTCCTTGATAACATGGCCCAAAGTCCTCAACAAATGGTGTCTGTTCCCAAGTGTAAGCACAGTGTTCTCAGACGAAAGCCATCTGGAATAAGCTTGAGGAACACACTTCCTTCATTGCATGAACAGCATCTTCCCTAGGTCCTTGTCTTTCTCAAGGCAAATATTATGACCATGGCAGAGACATTATCCTGGAAACATTTGTTTGACTTGCTGAGGGTTGATATCCACTCTACAGCTATCTGGGGTGTAGTTAATAAACAACACCTCCAATGCACGCTGCATTTTTACTAACTCCCCTCTAAGAAGTAAGCTTGGCACAACCATCTGCCAGGAATTTTTGGAACTCTCATTTATATAAATTTTCTGCACTATGCACAAGACATCAGTGCACGGCCTGTGGAAGTGGACTTGATACATGAAAGCTCACTGATAGTTTGATTGTTTAGGGGTCTAATAAAGATATTGCCTGCTCCTGCATTCTGATTATGTAAGGACCACACAACCTGGTTTGTTTTTTCCCTGGAAACTGACTTTTAAACCACCAAGTTGAAGACATGGGCATCCAAAGAGCAACAGTACAGTAGGACCTCCATATCCACGAGACTGATATTCGATGTTTCAATTATTGGGGGTTTGCTGCAGCCATATATACAACATACAAGAGCACTGCCTTGTGGCCTGTCTTGTACATTATATATGTCTTCTCTCATATCCATGGTTTCAGGCATCCATGGTAGATTTTGGAACCGATCCCTCACAGTTTGGGGGGTCTTGCTGTAAATATGCCAAAATTGTGGTTCTGCCCAATGTGTTTGCTTGTTGTTCATTTTCTAGGGCTGGCATCCCCTATCACATAGAACAAATGACTTAGAAATGAGATGTGAAGGGAGCTTTTGCAGATGAACAGCTGGAAATCTCCTTTAGGTTCCTGGATCTTTATGTTCAAGTGTATCTGTCTCACAGTAGTGGTACTGAAATCAGCAAGGCTACTCCTCTATAATCAACACCTGTCAACAGAGAGGATTGTAACCATAGCTATTCAGACAATGTTAGGAGAGGAGAAGAGCACTGGGGATCTCCCTAAGGAGCAACTGAATCCTGCCACTTTTTTCTTATGGTTAGTTAGCCTCAGCCACCCTCTCCATCTGATATTCAGCAGCATAAATTTCTCTGAAGCTGGACGCTACACTTTATTATTATGGTTGTTAATGAACTTACCTTCCATCAATGTATGTATAGCTTGTAAACACATTGGATCTGTGGACAAAAAGTTCACTCCATGCAGAATGGTAAGGCAGGCAATGCTTGATGTGGCTGTTGATTACCCCAGAGATGGTCAGCATGAGGACCTAGAGATGTCGTTGGTTTTCCACTCCCATCTTCCCTAGCCATCAGAGCCATCAGTGAGAGATGACATCACGTTTTCCAACCCCAAAACTATATACTGTTTCAAGTAATCTAGATTTTCTGTCTGACAATATCATATTTATGGGTGAGGGGTTTTTTTCCCAGTTGGCATTTCACTGAAACCACGTTAGCACTTCCCAAATCAATATCTGATGCAGAAGTTTTATTCAGTATTCACACATCTCCCTATTTTGTTATGCAGTTCTAGGAAAAACCCAGATGCATATAAAAATTTGTGCATTAAAAATGCACACAGAAATGCTCACTGAGAAAGAAAAATTGATATATCGGTGCCGGAAAATCCTCCCCCCCCAAAAAAAGCATTATGCATGGGGAAAACTGCTGGAAAAAAATATGTACATTACATAAAAGTCACATATCAAAATATGTATGTTAGGCAAAATGTGTGCACTCAGGAATACAAATGTCTGTGCATATGACTTTACTTAAATCAAGCAAGCAATCACGCTGATGAAGGCACAGGACAGCAAAAAATAAAAGCTAGAAAGAAATGGGAAACAGCAAGAAACAGAAATGGACAGATCCATCCATCTCTGAATATAACAAAACATATCACTACATCTACAACCGAGAAAAGGGGATGGGATGCCCAGTGTAATCAAGCTCCTTCTCTTCCCTGAATTCAGCTATTTTATTTTTTAAAAAAAAAAATACTGGAACTTTTTACATATAAGGCTTTATGATACAAAATAGGTATGTTGATGTCCCTGTTTGGGATCGGATTTTAAGCATCATCTGGCTACTCTGGAGGCCATAAACCAGATCAACATGTATATTTGCAATACCCTCTAGAGAATGGGGAGTCCATAAAATAAACGGATTATATAAAGGTGATTTCTTGCTAATGTGCAACAGATGTATTTTTACTACAACCATGTTTTTCAATTAGAAAATCATCAAACTATAATTTAGTATGAGATAAAAATAAAAGTGGAGCTTTAAAGGGCTTATCAAAAATATGCTAGGCAAATGCTAAATCATGTAGTGCAACAAACATGCTCGGCGACGTAAAGCAGATCCACACTAAACCAGAAACCATTGGCCTTTAAATATTCATGAATCAAGTCAAAAGTTAATTTAAAAGAGATGGCTTTCAAGTAACTTTGACTTGGCCTACAGTAATGGTTGTCAGCAAAGTTATCAGCAAACTTTGATTTTTCTTGGACAGGCTTTCCCAACCAGGTGCTTTATAGAAGTGTTGGAATGCCATTCTCATCAACCCCAGTCATAATGACCATGACAAAGCATGTTGAATGTTGCAGTCCAATACAACCGGGGGGGAGGAGGAGGCGGCATTATGTTATGGGGACTAGCTAAAGAGAAGGCCATACACACATCATCATCATACAGTTTTCAAAAGCCAGAACCCCCTAGGTAGGTAACCAATGCTATACCAAAGCTTCCTAAAACTGCCAAAGAATCACATTTGTGATTGTAGACCTTTAAGGATATAATGGTATTTAAATTCCAGATCTCCATGCTCAGAGAGACTCTTTAGAAGCTATTGTACCAGACAACTGATGGCTACTATCCAGTGTTATATATCTCATTCTTCTCTACCACAGAATATTGACGATCCCCTGTATCTATTTATTTATTTATTTATTTGATTTTTACCCCGCCCCTCTAGACGACGTCTATGTTAGGCTGTAGTTATAAAACAAAGGAGAAGCTTCAAAGGAGCTGACCTGTTGCCCTTGGTAAGCACTGACAACCTTCTTGAAAATATATTTTATTATTTTATACTGCAACATTTGTGACAATGATAATTCTGTACCATCAAGAAAGATGTGCTCAGGGCTGGTGCCCATATAGCCCATCTCTAGCTACAATAGTCATGAAGAAAAACTACCTTTCCATTTCTTTAAAGCAGTGGAGAAGAAAATGTGGTTATCCAGATACTCGGGGGCAGCAGTTCCCAACATTCCTCATGATGGGCTATGTCAAATTGACTTTACAATTCATCAGCATCTGGAACGTGAACAATTTCACCTCCTTATTCTGAAGTTTAAGCATGAAGTCAGTTTGGCAAAAAAGGAAATAAAACTTTTCTGCTATGGAGACTGGATAGTTCAATGGT